CTCACATGGCCAGCTGACCTTTCCTAGGTCACAGTGCTACCTTGGCTCTCTAGAGTCTTACATGCCTAAAACAACAGCAAAACTAGTAATTTATGTAATCTCCTGCCTAGAGATGGTCCATCCCACACAAACATTCAAAGGATTCTAATTGCCCTCCCTCTTTCCACTCCCCATCACTGGTCCCCTTGATCCTTTTACTCTTCCCCCTCCACCCAGATGCACACCTACTCCAGGATCCTAGTTCTAGGTCCGTTGGTCCTAGTCAGGCCTCCCCTGAGGCCTCTGAATTGCTAAAGGGGTCCTCTCAGCCCTTCAGGTCCCATGTTCCCTAAAGGAGTCTTGGTCAGGGGCAAAAATTCTCCAAAACAAAGAAAATCCCCCAAGAAATATGTATTATGAAAACTCCAAACATAAAGAAAAGTTGGAATAATTATTAGTAAACATTCATATATCCACCACCTAGATTCTATAATTGTTAAAAATTTTTCCCTATTTGCCTTATCACCTATCAATCTGTTTTTTGTGTTGTTTTTTTTTTTAAATATATTTTTATTTTTTACAGAGAGGAAGGGAGAGGGATAGAGAGTTAGAAACATCGAGAGAAACATCAATCAGCTGCCTCCTGCACACCCCCTACTGGGGATGTGCCTGCAACCCAGGTCAGAACCGTGAACTACCCAGATAATTTAAGTAATAATGGTTGAAGCATCTCCACCTTACTTCACTTAATTCTTTAGGTACTTATGTAGATCTTTGCTGATTATTGTTGATCAGATACTCCTGGAGATCTGTTGATGAGTTAATCAGGTACTCTGCCTATTCCTGAAAATTGTCTGCTGATGTGTGTCATTAAAACCTCCTTACCCTAAGGGTTACTCCAGATGAATAAAAGCTTGGTGAGACCTGAGCAAAGGGGGAGAGGAGGAAGTCTTTCCGGAGGAGGAATTCTTTCCGGACTTGCCCGCCTGGTCCCCCGGTATTGCAAAATTATCTTGTGTCTCTTTCTTTCATTTGTTGTGTGGCTCCTCTTTCAGATACCGAACCCTACTCCACGCGGGTCGTGGAAGGAATCACTCAGCACTAACTCTTCTTGCATGTTCAGGGTTTGTTTTTAATTTACATACTATGATAGTACCTCACATCTATTAGGATGACTACTATCAGAAAAAAACAAACAAACAGAAAATAACAAGTATTGACAAGGATATGGAGAAATTCAGACCCTGGTACACTGTTGGTGGGAATGTAAAATGGTATAGCCATTGTGGAAAATAGTACAGTGGTTCCTCAAAAAATTTAAAATACAGTCTCTCCAGGGCCCCTGGGGCACCATCCCTCCTTCCCAGAGTAAGAGGATTGGGGGAGAAGGCAAGGCAGACAGGAAACACCTTTGCACTAGGACATGTCACTAACTCATGTGGCCCCTTCTCTGAGCTTCTAGCTCATTATATGGGGCGGGGAGGTCAAACTAGATCTCCTGGAGACTTAGGGCTCCAAAGCAGTGCAAAGGCCCTGAGGCTTAACTCTCTTATTCCGTCTCCCAGCAGCTCCCTATCTGTCTTATATACTGAACTTCTGCATAATAGTTCCTACAAATAAAGTCTTCTGGGCTTAAAAAACCCACCTAAAACCTAGAAAACATTGATTCTCTTTGGTGCTCTGTTTTTCCCGCAAACATTTTATCTTCTAAGGCAGCGTTCTCAACCTGTGGGTCGCGCCCTTTGGCAGTCGAATGACTCTTTCACAGGGGTCATCTAAGACCATCCTGCATATCAGATATTTACATTACGATTCATAACAGTAGCAACATTACAGTTATGAGGTAGCAACAAAAATAATTTTATGGTTGGGTCACAACATGAGGAACTGTATTTAAAGGGTCAGAAGGTTGAGAACCACTGTCTAAGGCATTATATAATTTATGTATTATGTCTACTGTCTGCCTCTCCGCTTGGGTCACTGAGATGTTGGTCTGTTTGGTTTACTTGTGTATCACTGATGTAGCACAGAGCCTGGTACAGAGTTGGCACTCAATAAATACATGAATGAATGAAAAATTTTAATAGAATTACCATATGATCCAGCAATTCCACTTCTGGGTATATACCCAAAAGAATTGAAATCAGGGTCATGAAGAGATATGTATATACCCATGTTCATAGAAGCATTATTCACAGTAGCTAAAACCCAAGTGTCTATCAACAGATGAGTGAATAAGCAAAATGGGGTATATACATGCAATGGAATATTATTCAGCCCTAAATAAGAAGGAAATTCTGACATACGCTACAACATGGATATTATGCTTGAGAAAATAAGCAGACACAAATACTATATGACTTCATGTGATACTTAGTCAAAAAACATAGACAGAAAGGAGAATGTTGGTTGCCAGGGGCTGGAGGGAATGTGGAGAATGAGGAGTTATTGTTAATAGGTAGAGAGTTTCCAATTCTGTAAGATAAAAAGAGTTTTGAAGATGGGTGGTGGTGATGGTTGCACAACATGAGTGTACTTAATGCCACTGAAATGTACATACAAAAATGGCTAAGATTGTAAATTTTATGTTGGGTTTTACCTCAATAATAAAATTGTAACAATTACATGCCATGAAATGTTCTGACATGAGTTTTGACAAATGAATACTATAGTGTAAACCTAACTTTTATGAAGAAAGAACATTTCCACCACCCAGAAAGTTCCCACAAGTCCATCCATGCCCCCAACCTCCAGAGACAACCACTTGTTTAAAAAAACATGTTAAAAATCAGATCTAAAAAACAGATTGGTTTTCCCTTTTCTGCAACTTTATAAAAATGCAACTATCAAGTATCTATATATATATAAAAGCCTAAGCGACCTTTACAACCAGTCGACCAGTCACTATGATGACACACTGACCACCAGGGGGCAGACACTCAACGCAGGAGCTGCCCCCTGGTGGTCAGTGTGCTCCCATAGCCAACCTCCCACAGCTGGCCAACCTCCCACAGTCCCTCCCCTACCACTGGCCGGCCTGACTGTCCCTGATAGCTCGTCAGGCAAAGGAACCCCACCTGTGCACAAATTTGTGCACTGGGCCTCTAGTTCTTCTATATAAGGCTTGTTTCACTCAAGATGTTTTCGAAATTCATCCATGCTGTGTACATGAGTAGTTTGTACTTCTACATTACTAAGTCCTATTTTTTAACCTAATAATAGACAAACATGTAAATTGACTGTCCCTCCACTACACTCACCAGCCAATCAGGAGTATGCAAATTAACCCAACAAAGATGGCGGTTAATTTGCATATATAGGCACAAAGCAGCGGAACAAAGATGGAAGGCTCTGGGCCGGAGAAAAGGCCTGGGTCCTGGGTGCGGGAGGAAAACCGGTGCCGGCAGCCAGGGGAAGGGAAGGCCTATTGCACAAATCTCTTCATGCAACGGGCCTCTAGTTTCATCATATGAATATACCACAATTTGTTTATCCATTTTCCTGTCAATGACCTGGTGGACTTGGCTACTATAAGAAAAGTTGTTATGAATATCCATATATACTGTTTTCATTTATTTTGGTTAAATATCTAGAAGAATTGCTAGGTTATGGGATGATGTAATTCTTGATATGATTAGATTTAGGTCTACCATTTAGCTATTTGTCTTGTTTGTCCCATTGTTTTTTGTTCCCCTCTTCCTCCTTTCCTATCTTCTTTTGAGTTAACTAAATATTTTTTAAATATATATATATATATATATTATTTATATATAATTTTATTTCAGAGAGGAAGGAAGAGGGAGAATCACCAATTGGCTGCCTCCTGCACACCAATCCAGGCATATGTCCTGACCAGGAATCGAACGGTGACCTCCTGGTTCATAGGTCGATGCTCGACCACTGAGTCATGCTGGCCAGGCCTACATAGTTTTTATAATTCTATTTTAACTTCTTTGTTGGCTCTATAACTATACTTTGTCACATTTTTTTTTATTGAGATGAAATTTACATAACATAAAACTAGCCATTTTAAAATAAAAACATTTAAAACAATTCAGTAGCACTTAGTAACATTCCACAATGTTGTGTAATCACCACCTCTATCTAGTTATAAAACATTTTCATCTTCCCAAAATAAAATTCCATAGCCATTCAGCATGGCTATTCTCTTCTCCTCAATGCCTAGCAACCACCAATGTACATTGTCATTATTGATATACCTATTCTGGACATTGGATATAAATAAAATCATATAGCATGTGGTCTTTTTGTTTGGCTTCTTTCATTTCGCATGTTTTCAAGATTCACCCATGCTGTAGCATGTGTCAGTACCTCATTCCTTTTTAAGGCTGAATAAAGCTCCATTGTATGCATAAACCACATTTTGTTTCTCCATTCTTCCATTAATGGACATTTAGTTGTTTCCACCTTTTGGGTATTGTGAGCAGTGCTGCTCATTGCATTATTTTTCAGTGTTTGCTCTACTGCAGCAATTTTCAAGTGTTTTAATTTCAGAACCCATTTATACTCCTACAAAATACTAGAGACCCCCAAAAGCTTTTATGTGAGAGACACATATAATTAAATTAAAAATGCAAAATCATTTTTAATTAATTAAATAAATCCATTATATGCTAACATAAGCATGTTTTATGAAAAATATATTTTCAAAAAAATAGTGAGAAAAAAGGCACTGTTTTACGTTTCTGCCAATCTCTTTAATGTCTGTCTGAAAAGACAGATGGATTCCATATCTACTTCTGCATTCGATCTGTTGAGATGTGTTGTTTTGGCTGGCGTATACAAAGAAAAGCCAACCTCGTATAGATATGAGGTGCTCCCCTTACTTCCTGAAGCATAATATCGCAGACCTCCCGAATGGGTTTTGGGGACCCCCAAGTCCTTGCACCACACTTTGAGAACCGCTGTTCTAGGGGTTACAATGAACCTTTCAGAGACTAGCTAGAGCAGACATTACACCACTTCATGTAAGAACTTTGAAACTATAGAACTCCACTTACCATCGCCATTCTCCATGATACATTACATAACAAAGCACAGGGGCAATAACTAGACCTATGCACTTGCAAAATTCTTTTGCTTTAAACAGTTCCATGTGTTTTAAATAAATAGAGGAAAAATGATAGCCTTTTATATTCACCCACAGTTATCATTTCCTATGTTCTTCATTCGCCCAAAGACTCAACTTTCTATCTGGCAGCATTTCCCTTCAGCCTGAAATATGTCCTTGTGGTGCAGTCTGCTGGCAGTAAACTCTTCATTCTTTTTTTTTTTTAAGATTTTGTATTGATTTTTAAAATAAAGACAAGGCTATGACATCTACGGATGGATATTTGAGTGGTAACACTATAAAGACCCGTAAAGTTGTGATTACTATGGAAGTCAGGGGAGCGGTCACCTTCGCCAGGAGGAAGGTGGTGGGGCTGAGGGGAGAGTCCACAGAGGGCTCCTGAGGTGACTGCGAAGTTCTCTTCCAGACCTGGATGGCAGATACTAAGATGTCTGCCTTCTAGTAATTAAGTCATACATTTAGTTTGGTTGACTTTTCTACATCTGCGTTTTATTGTAAAAAAAATAAATAATAACTAGTTTTTCTTTAACCAATAATCCCGGGGTTGGCAAACTTTTCCCAATGGGCCAGAGAGTACTGTACATATTTTAGGTTTTACAGACCAGGAGGCAAAATCAAAAATATTGTGTAGGTATTTATTTAATCTACACAATATTAAGACGTAACCATTTAATAATGCATCAGGACAAATCCAAGCATTGCGACCCTCCAGGGTCCAGTAATCCTTGAATTTCAGATCCCAGGAGGTTCCCATTCCTGAGCCACGCCATCCACGTCCCCAAGTCGTAGCCAGGTTCCCGGGAGTGTCACGCCCCTCCGCGTCTCTTAGCAACAGGCAGACACTACCGCCACCTTGGGTTCCGCTCTCGGTGGGGGTGGGGCGCAGGAGGAGTTCTCGGCTCCTCCCACCGGCTCGGGCAGAAAAGGGAGGGCCCAGAGGCACCCAGGCCCCAGGACTGGGACGCAGTCCTCGACCACACCTTTCTCCCTCCAGGTGTGGTCTAGTAGGCGAGCGGGCAGCAGCAGCAGCACCCAGGAGCCTGCTGGAGACAGAATTTGCACCCAACTCCAGACCTACTGAATCTCAGTCTGCATTTTTAAGAAGATCCCCATCTTTAGTAACGTTTTACAAGTGTGGCTTTTACAATCCAGATAAGGCAAAGCCATAAATAAATATTCACCTCTAATAGACTGAACTTTAAAAAATATTTATTTATTTATTTATTTATTTATTTATTTCAGCGAGGAAGGGAGAAATGGAAACATCAATGAGAGAGCATCACCGATAGGCTGTCTCCTGCCCGCCCCCCACTGGGGATCCAGTGGCAACCTGGGCATGTGCCCCTAACCAGAATCAAACCCGAGACCCTTCAGTCCACAGGCCTACACTCTATCCACTGAGCCAAACCAGCTAGGGCTAGATTGAACTTTTAACCTAGACACTAAAAGACAGCCCTTATGATTTAGAAGAGGAAGTTCCCAAAGCTGAGTTCTCTATGCTCAGTAAGGGTGAAAATTCCATGGTGTCTCCTCTGACCATCAGTCCAGGACACAATGCATCACTGACCTCAAGTTCCTGCTCTTAAAGCCGATGGGGAAATCTGGAGGGACAATTTCCATCCCCAGAGTTAAGGGATAACATAGAGAGGGTTCAAATAGGCACCTTGTAACTGCAGAATAATTAAGTCAAATGACAACATCAGGGTAATCCCAGACCCAGGGAAGGCAGCATCCAAACCCATCTGAACATCTCCCAGGAAACAGACCTCACTTGCATTTTAAACCTCAAAATGAGAATCCTACTAATACTAAGTCAGGGGCTAAGTACTCCTGAGAGAAGTTCCCGGTCAGTAACTTCCCAGTCTGGTAAGTTCTCTCCACATCCATCTATCCTGGGAAACTGCAGACCTTGAGTTTAACTTCCTCATCAGATGACTGGCAAATCAAATAGACACATTCCCGTCCTAGAAGAACCACTTGGCTTCACTGGGAAATATTAGAAAGAAGAAAATGACTTACCAAAGAACACGGAGAAAATAAAATGATCGTTTTTTAATGACAAGGATGAGATAGTAAGATGAGGAAAAAACCCTTCAAACAGAAAACTCAAAAACACACTTCTAAAAATCCATGATACAGACTACAACATGGACGAATCCTGAACACATTATGCTCTGTGAAAGAAGCCAGTCACAAAGGACCGCGTATTGAATGGCTGCATTTATATGAAGTGTTCAAAAAGGGCAAATCCGTAGAGACAGAGAGTAGACGAAATGGTTGCCTAGGGCAGGGAGGGGTTGAGGGGTTAGTTTAATGGCTAAGAAGTATGGGGGCTCTTTGGGGAATAATGAAAATGTTCTAAAATTATTTGAGGTGATGATTGACAACTCTGTAAATGTACTAAAAGCCACCGAACTACACACTTTAAATGGGTGAATTGTATGGTTTATGAATTATATTTAAATAAAGCTGTTTGGGGGCGGGGGGGGGAAGCCATGGCTCCACACTAGATCCACATTAGTCTAAAAACATGAAGTTCCTACTATAATGCAAAACCTTTCCAGGCCCAATCTAGGGCAAAATCTGAAGGGGGGAAAAAGTTGACATCAGTACTAGGTAGAGGCCCCAGCTAGATTTCCCTAGCAAAACACTCCCATCTTAGTTTGGGGAAGAATTTCACAGTCTTGTCTCAAAATCATCAATCTCATGGAAATCCCCATCTGGCTTTAGGTTCCTGTTTCAAAAACACTGGAAAAACCAAAACAGGCAAAACGCACTTTCAAAACAACACCTTTCATCTACGTGGGCAAGGGAAGAAACAGGATCACGGGGCAGATCAGAAGACAAAGTTAAGAATTCACTATCATTAGAGAAACTCGAGTCAAAAAAAGACTACGCATTTCCCAAGGGAGCTGTGTTTCAAAAGTCCCTAAATAACATAGCTCACAACGAATGGCAGCCGAAGAACCCAGCTGGATGACTGAGGCCTTGGAAGTGATCACACTGACCTCAGTTCCTCTCCCTGTATTGGGCTTTCATGGTGGCAAAATATCTTCTCAGCGTGTTTAGTTTCTCAAACCAAGAGCAGAGGGTATTGTGAGAAGCCCCTTGAGGACTCTGGGCTGCATCCACAAGGGCCCGTGGTCACAGCTGTCACCATGGAGAGGAAGACAGAAGGGGGAGGTGGAACAGGTATCTCTTACCCTAAAACAAAACACACAAAACCCCAGGGGCACTGGGATGCTTAGGGAGAGAGAAATCTCTGCAGCCATTGGCCAACAGCTTAGCCCTGCCCTGCCCAACTGGATTCTCTCTAATCCCCAGGAAAATAAATTAAAAGACCAAATGTCATTCATCAATTAATAATGAGGCAGATGCTGTTTGGCTTCTCTCTCTCCACTGGACTCCTGTTCTAAAGGATCTGCTTCAGTCCCTAAGAACAAAACAGCCATTTCCAAAGCCAAGGACATGGAACCAGCAAGTGCCTAGCCCTAGAACAATGCCTGCCACAGAATAGGTATTCAATAAATTTGTTGAATGCCTCCAGAATGAATGCTGGTATCAATTCCGTTGGCACTCTTGCCTTCTCCTCTCAGTCTGGAAACACACACACACACACACACAGTTCAATCCATGCCTGTTCACTGAAACTCCCATTTGTATGTAACCTTGCAAAATCAATAAAATTAGCAATTATTGCTAATAAAGATTTCTAGAGGGCAGGTATTTTTATTAATTTTGTTACTAATGTTCCTTAAGCGCCTAAAACAATGCCCGGCACATCACTGGCTCCCGATGAATATTTGTTGAATGCCGAATGAATTATAGGGGCCTGCAAGCAAACCCTTCACAACCATTTCCATAAAGGCGGCAGCGGCTGCCTCGAGGCCTCCCACCGCCAGGAGCCGCTGTGGGAAACGCCCAGCTTCCTTCCCACTTCACCTTCCACCCCCGCGGTGCCCTCTGACCCCGTGAAGGCTCTGCCCCGAGTTAAGATGGCGGTGTCGGTGGCAGCTGCAGTCGGGGGGCTGCGGCGGGCCATTCGAATGTCGCCCCCGTGGCGGGGCCCTGGCCACCGGCCGCTCTCCTCCGCGCCCCCTCCAGCCCAGGCGTCGGCCGTCCGTGACGCCTTCCTGAGCTTCTTCCGGGACCGCCATGGCCACCGACTTGTGCCGTCCGCGTCCGTGCGGCCCCGCGGCGACCCCAGCTTACTCTTCGTCAACGCCGGCATGAACCAGGTTGGGGCGGGGCTTGTGCTTTTCCGCGAGAGAAAGGCGCTACGGGATTGGGCAAAAGAGGCAAGAGGCGGAGCTCATAGCTCTTGGGGCGGGAGGGCCATGGGTGGGCAGGGCGATCCCGGGCGGGAGTTAGGGTTTTGGGGGAAGACTTGACCTGGGAGCTTGTGGTTTGGGATTGAGTTTTAGGCCCAGGAATGGTGGGTGTGGAGTCCCACGGGAGCAGATGGTGGGGGAAGTCTGGCTTCATTTATTCTTTCATTCAATAAAGATAATATTCCTTACGTGGATGTGGTGTGGAGCCCGTGCCCTGTGCTAGACTATGTTCTTTAAGCCCTTGACCTTGAGCGCTGCTTACCCTCCCCAGACTTGTTTGTCCTCATCTGTAAAATGGGTGGGAGGTGGAGGGAGGGGAGTTGGTTAACTTTAGAGCAGTTGTTCTCAACCTTCCTAATGCCGCGGCCCTTTAATACAGTGACCCCCAACCATAAAATTATTTTCGTTGCTACTTCATAACTGTAATGTTGCTACTGTTATGAATCGTCATGTAAATATCTGTGATGCAGGATGTATTTTCATTGTTACAAATTGAACATAATTAAAGCATAGTGATTAATCACAAAAACGATATGTAATTATAGATGTGTTTTCCGATGGTCTTAGGCGACCCCTATGATAGGGTCGTTCGACCCCCAAAGGGGTG